TATTTATGTATACACTTTGTATTGGTACAATCGTAGTGCGACATTACAAAATATTGTAAATAATCCTCATTTCGTAAATAAAAAAAAATAATTCCTATTAGAAATAGTTTTTTCATTATTTTCCTTTCCAAAAATAGCTAATTCGTATGCCCATGCGTCTGTATCCACCTGTATTCGCTGCACCGATCAAGCCCAAACTTAACCTAAATCACACATTTTATCGGACTTGCGCACACGCATTTGTGTCATGATTTGTTTCATGATTGACGAATGACTACCATTTTAAGGCCAAAAATGCAGAACATAGTACATTTTCAAAGAAACTGGATCTCAGTCGTGCGTGGACGTATTTAGTGCATACATTGAACACAATAGAACCTTATTGCATTTTTTTTTCAGATTGAGTTAAAAATAGCCGATGGCATTCCTGGACACACAAGTTCAAACTTTACACATACACCAAACATCACATCGGACATACGCACTTGCTTTTTTTTCATGATCCGATACCGATGGCCGAATAGCAGTAATTTCAAAACTAAAAAAATCACATATATTCATTATTCCGGAACTGCGTCTCAGCCATATGTGAACAGATTTTATTTAAACACGGGGATACTTTGAATACAATATAAACTAGATGCAAGTCGTTTTGTTTTTCGTATGATGTTACAAATGATCAAATGGTGGCAATTTGGTTTTAAAGAACGCAATTCCTGATCCATATATCTGACATGTCTGAACATGTTTAAACTTTACACATAAATCACAGAACATCTGATACAGGGGCATTTTTACCATCAAATTTAAGATGGCTGACTGGTGGCCATCTTAGTTGTCTGAATGCATTTCGTGGACATCGCATACCTGTTTTGAGCTTGAAGCAATCGAGTTTAGTGTATCAATGTGGAACCACGTTTCAGGTGTTCGTTAACGATTTGGTTTAAATCTGTTGCCTGGCAACTAGATTTTTCAGAGCTCTTAAAATGTAAAAGTCATTAGTGCAAGTGGTACCCAGGGCAAAACTCGCACTCGTGATTTCATTTGAAAAGCGCATTGGATTATGGGAAAATCAATGTTTATCAACACAATTGTCACACATGCGCGGCGCGACGACTACTCCCATTTAAAGCTCACGGAAAATTCAGAACATATTTTCAGCATTTGTGAATGAACTAACAAGTAGATCCGTGATGTTATGGTGCAAGAACATATCAGTAGTAGCATATTTCAACACCGTGACACCCAGGAGGACAAAGCCACATACTTTTAATAGAAATACGAATAATTATGGCACTATCACGGGGGGAATTCTTTTCCTCTGGGTTCTCCACACGTGTCAGGGGGAAATCTCGTCTCGTCTCTCTATCGCGTCCCCTTGAGGTACGGGATCGGGAAAGTCACTTAAGCTTTACAGTCAAATAAGACACACACAACGAAATACGTTTCAACTCTCGTCTTAGTCGGTCTTTTGAGCACTCTATAAGACACATCGCCCTGGGGAAAAGGTCTATAAGACACAGCGCCCTGGGGAGAAGTCCCCAAGACTATCGCAAGGCTGACCCAAGAGTCGCCCAAAACTCTCCAGGACTGGACTCTCGACTG